AAATAAAATGGAAAATTTTTTTCTTGAGTATGAAACTGAAACTGATTGTAGGCTACTTTAGAAAATATGTCAGTATGTTGATGCAAATATGAGAAGTGCTAAAGATAATTCTACAAATGTATTTTAAAAAAATGATTTTAGAATTGAGGTCACAACATTGTAATCTAAGTATCATATTAGGCATCAAAGATCTATATGAATTCATTCGGAAGAAAAAGAGAAAGTTAGGATTAGCTTGGAAAGGAAAATAAAAAAAAAATTGTTTTTGACGGGACAAGAGGGGTAAGCAGTATTTTCTTCAAATTTATAAGTGCATATTAAAAGAAATATTAAGGAAATAAGTGCATATTAAAAGAAATATTAAGGAAATATCTATCAAGATTTATGTTCATTGTGGTAAGAGTTTCCCAAAAGATACATGATTTTGAATAATTCAATTCCAAAAAATGTGTTATTTGAATAAATTTGCACTGGAGGACATGTAATTAGTGAGTAAGCAAAGTCTAGAAATTTTATTCTTCCTTTAGAACTTGATATTTAACTTTGGTCATGATTGGTCCTAAAGTTTTGTAAATGTTATCATAGAAGCCTCCCAACTATCTTTCAGTTAAGATGAATCTCACAAAAGATTTTATAAGAACATCAAAGTGATCAATACTATCATCTTCTAAAATTGTGCTAAATATAAGAAGAATATGGGGTATGAGAATTACGTCTATGTGATTATATTGTTATAATGAATAAAATAGCAAATCAATCAATTGATGAAATTTAAAAACAACAAATGCATCTGAGAAAAAAAAATGTTCACTAAACTTATGATTGATTTATCAAATATTGTAGGATTTTTAGATGAAGACTTGATAGTATATATGTTATCTTTTCTAAGACAAAACAATGATTTCTTTCAATTTTCTCAAAACCTGTAGAGTAACCAGATGAATGTAAAAGGAGTTAAATAACTAATTTTTCATTGTAGAACCTACAAATGTAATAATCATTATTTACAATTTTTGAAATTATAATGATTAAGTATGTTGGACTTTATATTTTAGGTTCTATTAGTTGTTTCATAGGTTACAACTTTAAAGCTTGTTATTATGTGATCTTAGTGATTATTACTATTTTGAGGTTAAAAATTTAACACTAATGTTCATATTTAGTACAAATATTATAAGATATAGTAGAGAATTATGAAATTTTTATGGCTATTTAATAATTGCTCTTTTGTTGTTAGTTTTAGTCTAGATATATTTACACTACTTTTTCTTACTTTATAGGCACCAAATCAAATGTCTCCTAAGAAATCAAAATATATTGTTTTTATATTACTCTGCATTCACCTATACAGAAGAAATAATAATAATTCACCTTCATTTATTTTGTCAAAAATTAAATAGCTCCTAATTATTCAAAATAACATGTATTTAATTTAAACTAAAGTTTATACTTTCTACATGTTTTTTCATCAAATTAAGCATCCCTTAAGAATCAAAAGAATTTGAAATGAAACAAAATTATGTAAAATTATTATTCACTTAAATAAACTTATTTAAATAAATATATTAATTGATAACCACTTTGTGTTATATTTAATAAAAGAAAATAAAATGACAATATAATATTATAACGTGAAATGTTATAATTCAAATAACATTAGCATAAATTAAATTAAATATAAATAAATTAATATATCTATAAATAAATTAACAAACAAGGAATTCTTAGGGGTATTGTACAACATCAGACTCTTTTGAATAAGATTGTCCTTGGGGAACTGATGTACCAGCTCAAGCTTGAGCTATACTTTCTACTCCAAAATAGATTTTAAATCTTTCTCAGGGATAACAGACACTTATGGGTGTTTTTTGGACTTCTTTCTCAGTTTCTCTTACCTTCAAGACTATATGAATAGCTTCAGGTTTCTCTATTTCTACATGCACTGACCTTGGAGTCAGAGTTGCTTTTGGATTGGATGTGCTGAAGCCAATAATTTATCCATCCACTTTTCAAACATTTCAATCTACTCATTTCTTTATCTTAGCTGATTAGATAGATTTTGAGTTGTGTTATGTGGGAGTCCTTATTCAAATGCAACATCTTGATGTTGTGCAAGAAGTCGTATTGGGACTGAGTTTGATTCACAGGGATAACATTCATTATCTCATTCATTCATTTATCCAATCTTTATATTATTTTATTCATTTGTCTTGACTGATTTAAGAGTTTTTGGACTATGTCCGGTGCAACACCTTCCTCATCTATTACATCTTACAGGTCAAAGTCTCATCTTGTTGCTCTCTCAGTGAGGCACTAGTTTCAACCATCATAATAGTGATATTTTCTTCAAAAGTTTCTATGGGTTCATTCTCTTCCTTGAGTTGTTTAATGCCAGTTTCCAAACCATGAATAAATTTTTCAATAGGTCAACCTCTAATATTCTTCAGATCAATTGACAGGTAGTTAGGCTTTATAACAATATTCATTTCCTTAACTCTGACATCAACTTCCCTTGTGAAAATCTCTAGTCCAAGTACTTCTGCTTCTTGGGATTGTGACAACTTCTTTCAAATGACTGACGTAGGTTGAGAATAGGTTTCTAACCTAAAATCATCTGTAATAGGAGGTTGGATCTTAACTTTGGTGGTATCTTCTTTTCATCCTCAATACCTAGAGCTTTTTGGAGAGACATTGGGATAAAAGGTGGAGGCTCATGTGATATGCCATGTACTTTCTAGATTTTCTGAAGAGACTTAGTGATAAAAGGAGGTCCTTCTATTGATAAACTGCATACAGGATGCAATGACAAGAATTGGGTAGATATACGCCTTAATATTTTGAACTAGTTAGCTTACTACTATTAATAGTTCGATACTCAGAATATACATGATATAGTTGATTTCTATCTGTCAGTGCATACGAACTCCTCTAATACTTATACTGCTTCCTTGAGAATTATCATAATCAAAGATTTTATTTCTCTTCTTAAGAAAATATACCTCCTACTGATATAAGAACTTCTATCAAAGTGCATTTCTCCCATTCTATTATTCTCTTAAATATCTTGTGCAAACAAATATGACGGGGTTCTTCTTTTCTTTACTAGGAAAGTCATATTCAAAAGGAGGTGAGGGTGAGTCAGTTATTCTTCACACTTCTCCTTTTTGTACAGCAGAAAGTGAGTAGACTTACTTCCTCCTAAGAGATGAGAGGTTTCAAATAGGTCAAATCCATTTTCATGGGCATCCCTCTCAGTTAACTTCTTCTCCTTATGAGCCTGTATGTCCCCCTATTCTTATTCTTTCATTGAGTTTCTGTTAATTTAGTAGTATTCTTAGAAGAAGAACTAACTTCAAACATTGATGGGGCATTACAAATTCCACCCAACACTTTAACTAACTTATCATTTATCATTTCAATAAATTTGGGGATTTCATATGCTTCAATAACTTGGTGAATAATTGCTTTAATAGAAGGTTTTGAATACTAGGAACAACAATAGTCACAACAAAAGAAACTTCCAGTAACTCTCTTCTTCAAGGGTGGAAATCCTTCTTCAAACTTAAAGGTTGAATTCCCTCAAAGTTTCATTCTCATCAATAACTCAAAGTTTCATTCTCATCAATAACTTGAGGTTCTACTGTGAAAAAAATGACATTACCTCAAGTCATTATGAATAAATAAAAGCCCATTTCAAACTTGATGATGGACCCACCGTTGAGATGTGTTGAACTGACCGCCAGGTTTCCTCAATTCTAAGGAAAAAAAATTAACTTGAGGGATGAAATCTTCCTGTAACAGGTCAGATAGAAGGAAGGATGCTAATAGAAAGTATACGCTTGAATCTCCAACTTCTAATCAATTCAAGATGGAAATCGGAAAACTCAATCAAAGCATGAAATTCAACCAAAAAATAGTACAGAAGTATACTCATTAAATAAGATTAAAAAATGAGATGTTTAAGACTTATAGTTTGATAGGTGGACCCATTTTATGATTTAGTGAATGAAGAGCTCAACAAGAAAGAGATGGGTAATCTGAGTGTGTGAGAGATACATGTATATTATCGATGAAAATTAAGATAAGCCAACACTCTAGATGGAGAGAGAAACCATCCCAACGGAGTCGCTAAATAAAACTTTTTGAGCTATATAAGCTTCAAAAGTGGTTGAAAAAAAAATGTTAAATTCTCTCTTACATTTTCCATCAAACTTATTTTATCCTTTTGAACAACTATTTACACATGATTAAGCCGACTTTTTTGTCGATTAGTGATGGTGCATTTGCAATCAAGGCAAGGGGATGGGTTTTAGGGTTTAGGGTACAAGAGCGATCTACAAAATTGATACACTTAATGTTTGATCTACTCTAAGAATAAAACCATCGACATACTTCCCTACCAGGCTTTCTCAATCTCATTACTTTTATTTAATTTACTTATTTGCCCTGAATTTATTTCTTAATTCGATATTTGTCAGTTTACTTTAATAATTCTCACACATTGTACATTAAAATTTCATTGTACATATTATGATGATTTTTATTTTGTTGTAAAATTTAAGCATATTTAATGACAAAGACAGCTGCACAACACAAACTCAAAACTTATTGATTGAAAGACAAAGCTCTCGCTCACTAAGCCAAAATAACTTGCATTATTATCATTAATATGACCAAACCGGCACACAATTATCACACCAAAAATTTGATATTTATACTTATATTTGTATTATTTTATTGTTATAATTCTATACATAAAAAATAAATGTTTTTTTATCAAAGTCATCTTAATTTAATATCATTCAAAACATTAAATATTTTACAAATATAAGGAGGAATCTACTCTAAGCTGAAACCCCCCAAAGGAATGTAACAGACAAAAACAATTAGAATCAGAAAATTTCTCAATTTACCAAAAAAAAATAAAGGAAAAAAAAGTTCTTTCAGTAGAAGAGTTCTAGTTCCTGAAAATTTCTTCATAAATAGATACTGCAGCACCACTTACCTTCTCATCCTCAAATTCTCCCCTCTTTCTCTCTGCGTGTGTTTAATCCATGGATTCTAATTGCTTACAATCCACCGTCCACGCCACCTACTCTCCACCTCCCACCACCACCCACATCCACTCCTCCCGCTCCCAGTGGCTCCGCGCCGCCGTCCTCGGCGCCAACGACGGCCTCATCTCCATCTCCTCCCTCATGATTGGTGTTGGCGCCGTCAACCAATCTTCACGCGCCATGCTTATCACCGGCCTCGCCGGCCTCCTTGCCGGCTCCTTCAGCATGTCCATCGGTGAATTCGTCTCCGTCTACGCCCAATACGACATCGAGTCCGCACAACCAATTAAACAAATCCTCCCAAGCCCATATAAAGCCGCGGCTGCCTCTGCACTTTCAATAAACCAATCCCCCCCAGCCCCATAAAAGCCCGCGGCTGCCTCTGCAATTTCTTTCGCAGCCGGCGGCGTCCCACCGCTGCTCGCCGGCGGGTTTATTGTGTCGTGGATGGAAAGGGTGGCGGTTGTCTGGCTTGTTAGTAGTATAGGATTGGCTTCATTAGGGGCTGCCGGTGCGCTCATGGGCGGCGCCACCGCGGGGAAGGCCGCCGGAAGAGTATTGGTTGGAGGGTGGATTGCTATGTTGGTGACTTATGGGGTGTTGAGGCTTTTAGGACTTGCTTTTAACATGAATGTTTCTGCTTCTGCATAAAGGGCTTTATGTTTTTTATTTTGTTTGGAGTTTAGGAGAGAATAAAGTTTAATTAGTTGGTGCATGCTATATAAATGTATCAAATGAATATATGATGTTGCTTTGTTAGAGTTAGTTTGTTTAAAGGGATCAATATTATCGAGATCGAGCTTGAGATTGAATTTAATATATATATATATATATATATATATATATATGTTAATTTACTACTCTAGTTCTCATATATGTGTGTGTGTAATTCAATGCTTACATTTTTCCACACTTAAGTTTCATAAATATGCTAATTTTTTAAAAAAGTTTTATTTTTTACACATGATAAAGCAAATTAATTAAGAGAAAAAAATATATAAGTATGAAATTTCTAAAGAATTATATGATCATGAATTAAGCTTATAAATCATATGTTCTTGAATAAAAACATATTCATTTATAGTTAGAGTACATGTAAATATGTACATGTATCATAAATAAGTTAGCTATTTAGGATGATGATTTGTAAATTTATATAAATTTGTATGAAAATCTATATATTTTATGAACTCATCAAGGGTTCGTTTTAGTTTGAAAAAGATTTACTTAATTTTGAAAATGTTTTAGATTTATTTTAGTTTTTTAAAAGATTTTGTTTAGATTTCTCAAATTAGAAAGTGGATCTTTCTTTTATTTTAAAAAAAGATCATTTAAATTTGTTTTGGTTTTGGAATAAAGTTCTAAAAAGTTTTAGGATGTTTTAGGTTTTTTTAAGTTTCTAAAAAGTTTTTAACTTAAGTTTAATTTTGAAAAAGCTTTTTTTTAAGTTTTCCTTAATTTGAAATAGTTTAGTTAGGTTTTGATTTTGAAAATATTTTAAGTTTTGCTTTAAGTTTTTTTCCTTTTTTTTTTTTTTTTTTAGAAGTTTTGCATAAATTTTTTAGTTTTGGAGAAGGTTTTTTATTTTGAAAAAATTACATTTTAAAAGAGTTTTATTTAAGTTTTAGCTTGAAAATTTTTTTATTTAAGTTTTCTTTTGAAAAGATTTTTTTTTGTAAAGTTTTCTCTTGGTTTTATTTTGAAAAAAAAATTATTTAGTTTTTCTTTCTCAAAAGAATTTTTTTATGTTTTAGTTTGAAAAAAAAATTATTTAAAAAATATTGAATTTTAAAAAGATTTTGTTTAAGTTTTCTTTTGAAAAAAATATAGTTAGAAAAACTTTTATTTAAGTTTTGTTTTTAGATAAAGTTATATTTTGAAAGTGTTTTGTTTGAGTTTTCTTTTGAAAATGTTTGCTTATGAAAAGTTTTACTTAAGCTTAATATTTGGAAAAATTGTTCTAATTTCATTTGAAAACATTTTACTTAGGAAAATTTAATTAAATTTTGTTTTTTAAGAAAATAAGTTATATTTTGAAAATTTTTTTATTTAAGTTTTCTTTAGAAAAATTTTTACTTAGGGAAAGTTTTATTTATGTTTTTAGAAAATTTTATATTTTGAAAAGGTCTTGTCTAAGTTTTCTTTTGAAAAATTTTTACTTAGGTTTTGTTTTGAAAAGATTTTTATTCAAGTTTATAAAAATTGCCCTTATTTATTAAGTGTTTTACTCCACTTTTAAAAAGTTTAAGTTTAATGAATTCAAACTTTAGGAAAGTAAGCATATGAAGATATTTTTGAAATTGGAGCATACCAAAACTTACATCATTCAGCTCTCTTTTATAACTCATCTTAAATTAATATAAAATCATAAAAATAGTTAATTTAGAGCGCGCGCGCACACACACACAGATATATATATATATATATATATATATATAT